CCACTGTTGCTTTTTTGTCCTTCCTTTACCCTCTCCCCACTTGGTTCTGGACCCAGGCACAGTCATGGGAAGTGCATAGGAGAGCAGGGTGAATATAGTCCCAGCTCTCTGACCAGAGGACCCGAAAGGCACCACCTCCCCCCCCCCAGGGAAGTGGAAAGTACCAAGGGGACCATAGAGAGAGAGGAGCTCAAAAAGCACCCCATAAAGCTGTGATGGTCTTACCTGCAGCTGTACGTAAGTGGATCTGATCCTAAGTAGCATACCGAAGACTTTGAGAATGGAACTACAGGATGGTCTACTGTTCAGGTCCCATGCTGACCAGTGGGTAGCACATACATGGTACAGATTAGAGGAGCACTGTAAAGGCTTTATAAACAGAACTTGGAGACCAAACCCAGCTGAGCTGATTGTCTGCTAAAACAAAAATATCTGGATTCTCCCAAAGCCTCATAATTTTCAAAATGTGTGGGATAAAGTCCAAAATCACTGTGCATAACAGAACCAAGAGACACAAAAAGACAATCAACAGATGCCAATATCAAGATGACACAGATGTTGGAATTATCTGATAGACTTTATAAGCAGCTATTATAAAAGTACTCCAGAAGTGAGGTCAAACAGTCTTGAAATGAATAGAATGATAGAAACTCACAGCAAATAAACAAAGACATAAAGATGAACCAAATGGGAGTTTTAGTACCAAAAAAATACAGTGATCAAAATAAGCATTTCACTGGATTAATCAGAATGGATATGAATGGACTGAGGAAAAAGATAGATCAATGCAAATTATTGCTATCTGAACAACAGAGAGAAAAAGAATTAAAGATAAAGTATCAGAGACCTGTGGGGCAATTGAGGTACTAGAAGGAGAGAAAAACGAATGCTGTACAGATGAAATATTTAAAGAATATAATGACTGAAAACTTCTCAGATTTGGCAAAAGGCAGCAAACCTTCTAAGTAGGTTAGACCCACAGAAATCCATGCTCAAACATACCATAATCAAACTGCTGAAAACTAAAGACCAAAAGAAAATCTTGAAAGCAGCTAGGGAAAATTGTGCATTGCTCATAGAGGAAAAAGAATTTGAATGATTGTGAATTTCTCATCAGAAACTGTAGAGGCCAGAAAAAAAGTAGAACAGCATTCTTAAAATATGGAGAAAAAAGGATTATCAACCCAGAATTCTAGATCCAGGGACTATTTCGCCTTCATTTCTGGAGAATATTAAGATATTCTTAGTGAAAAGAAACTAAGAATTCCCAGTCAACAGATCTTCTCAAAAGAAAGTTCTTCAGACAGAATGAACTTGATACCAATAAAAACTTGGAACATCAGGAATAAAGGAAAAACAATAGAAATGGCAAGTATAGTAGACTGTTCTCGAGTTCTCTAAAATATGTTTTATAGTTGAAAACAAAAATTGTGACATTGTCAAATGAAGTTTCTAATGTATGTAGATGTGTCGTGTGTGACAACTGTAACATAAAGGGAGGACTAGAGGGGCTTGTGTGTGCTGGTAAGTTTTCGACATTCCACTTGAAATGGTAAAATTGTTTCTAAGTAGACTGAAAAGTTAAGTTTGCATGTCTTGAGCAACCTCTAAATAGACTATATACAAAGGGATATAGTAAAAACAAAACAAAACAAACCACAATCAAAATTGAATAATAAAAGGAAAAAGGAAATAAGAAGAAAAACAAAGGGAACAATTGGAAAACCAATAATCCCATGAAAAGTAAACAATCTGGACTGGGCACGCTGGCTCAGCCTGTAATCCCAGCACTTTGGGAGGCCGAGGTGAGAGGATTGCCTGATCCCAGGGGTTTAAGACCAGCCTGGGCAACTTGGTGAGACCTTGTCTCTACAATAAATCACACACACACACACACACACACACACACACACAAAGTAAACAGTCTCAGCACACCAGAGCAAAGAACATGGACTTTGAAGTTGGCCAGGCCTGCTGTGACTTTTGCTGTTTTCTAATCTCTGTGGCTTTAGTGCAAGAAACTTTGCTTTTCTGAACCTCGATATTCTCATCTGTAGAATAGGGATGATAGTTATACCTACTCAGAGGGATGCTGCAAAGATGAAATAAGATAACCTATAAGGAGCTCAGCTTATCTGCTAAAAATATAGGAAGATATTAATTTGTCCCACTTACATGTGAATTTACATTCATTTTGCAGAAATACTGGGGTATTAGTTTCAGGGTGCTGCTTGGGAATGTTACACAAAGTATGTTGCCATACCCATCGAACTTTTCTAAAGTATGAAAAATTCTGAATTCCAAAACATATCTAGCCCAAGATTATGGACCTGTCCTTTTTTACTTGTGAATTTTGAAACTGGCAAATGCATTACCTATTCAGAAAATTAAGTTTAAAAAAAATCTTTTGAAAACAAAATTTTTTAAAAAGCAGTTAAATTTAGCACAGCATCTGACACAAAGCAAGCTCTCAGTAAATAGCAGTGGCTGCTGTTGTTCTGTGCCTCCAGGCCTTTCCTGTCAACAAATTTGTTCCCGTCCAATACTACATTTTATCATCACGGCAGACCCTGTGAGTGTTACTACTTAGATTTTGCATCTTAAAGATGGCGATGCAAAGGTTTTGTGGCATGCCCCTAGCCACCAGTCAGAAAACACGGAACCCAAAGTCCAGAGCACGTCTTCTGACTCCCTGTCCTGGAGACCTTGCCAGTGCACCAGAACACCTTGGCCATTAGAAGGATGCCAGCTGACTTTGTGTGCCCACAGGAAACATGTAGTTTCACATAAGAGAAAAGGGAAGCACATAAGGGGGAAATCGTGTGTCTTCAAGATCACCCACTAGTTCTTTAAAGAGGCTACTTTAGCAGATGGGGCATGCTGCCTCAGGGGCCCAGCCATGAAGTTTTTCCTGCAGTGTTAGAGTGGATCACTCTTTATTTCAGTGGTTACCAAATGAAGTAGTAAGGGCTTGAATTCAGAGGCCTTACGTACAGAGGCCTTACTCAGTACATCCAAGACTGATGCTCAGCCAAGGGGGCTGTGGAAAGACAGACGTTTGTACTCTTTATTTTAAATGGAATCCAAGCGTGTACACAGTGAGTTCACAGAAGAGTGCATGTGTTGCAGTGAGTCTATGTTGAGTTTGAGTCTCCTGAATATGTTGTGACAATTTTGAGTTCACATATTATTGGGTGTGCCTTGCAGCTGCCTTTCTAGCCTTCCGTGTTCTCTGTTTCTTTTCCCTACACTGTGGAGAAATATTGAGATGGCTGAATATATCAGGAGCATCGAAGCTCTTTACTCCTGCATTTTTTTTTCTAATAAAGATGTAGGGTACAATTCGGGGTTAAGTATCCAAATTCTCCTAGGAATTTTAACAGCTACCAGAAGCCCCTTATGTTTGCTGTTCTGTGGGGGGGGGCACTTTATGGAGATAGGTAAGATGCTCACTGCCCTCTGGCATCACCTGGTCTGCCTCCAGTGAGGCAGGTATTGGAGGCCACCAGAAACTTGGACTGCTGGCTCCATGAACCATGGCTTGGGAACAGTAACCTAGATCAGGAAAAATGTCTTGCCTTGGAAACCTGGCTTTGTCCACTTAAATTGCAATATCCTTGCTAACCTGTTAGGTTGAACTAACTGGAGAAACACCTACTTTTGGATTTTTTTCCCAGGTCTCTAATTAATGGCTTATTACCTGTAAGCTTAGATTAGTTGCTGTTTATAAGACTTTCTTGTGCTCTGGCAGGAACCTTCCAGTGCCCCAGAACTGTCAGATGTGTATTGTTCTCCAGAGCTCCAAGCAGGGTCCAAAGCACATTTTTAAAATACTAAATCTTTTTTATTTTATTATATCAATATCCATATCCTTTACAGAAAAAAACAAGAATGTATAAAGAAAAAACTTACTCCCCAGGGGTTGGTTCACTGTTTACACGTTCAGTGTGTTTTCTAGTTTTATTTATACATACACCCCCCCCAAACACATACACACACCTGTTTTTCACAGTTGATTTCTAGGCTATTGATAATCCCCTTCCCCCTGCACAAGCATTTTTTCACATCTTTCAAAAAACTAATTCTAAGAACATTGTTTCTGCTGATTCCATGGCTGCATTTAGGGATACACTGTGGTATACCTATGTAGACGGGTTCCAGTTTCTTTATTAAATTCTTTGTGGGTATATCTTAATTTGAATTCTGTATTCTTTCTTTAAGATGGATACCTAGATATAAAATATTATATGAAAGAATAAGAAGGTACAGATGAAGAAAAGAAGACTTTTGAAAGCGAGATTATATTTGGGGTGTATACATATTAGAGAGTTCATACAGAACGCTCTCCAGAAAGCCTGCACTTGCAGATGGTCTGCCTAGCTCATGCATTCTTAGTGGAGGCAAAAATTGGTCCTTGAGGGGGGCGAGGAGGTCTCAGAGATGGCAGTGATGTGTGGTCCCCAGCAGGCCACAATGCATAAACAGTTTAGCTGTGGGGCTGAAATTTCAAACAGGTCACTATGACAGGAAGGTTGAGAAGCACTTTTTTAGCTGTATGTGATGCCATCCATCTGTCTCACTACACCTTGGGAGCTTTTAATTCTTAGTTTTGAGATTTGGGTTTTTGGTTTTAGGATACTTTTTTGATATAAAATTTCTTGGTTCTTCATACAAGGTTGAGGAACTTGAGAAAGGTGTGAATAAAATAAAATTTATCTGGAGCTTACCATTGTTACTATTTTTATTTTTATATAGAATTGGAGTCTTCCATGCTTGTAGCTTTGTGTTCCATCCTCTTTACATAATTGCCATTGTGATATTATCAGTGTTAATCTGTGCCAAGGACCATTCTGAAATGACCATTGTGTTATGGTGTCATGCAGGGATTTCCCAGTCCCCCATGCCTGGGAGTGCATTTGTGACC